GTCTTCGAGAACTTCTATCTTTTCTCCATTTATATGGATGTTATTTATTAGTCCAGTGGTGAGGATTTTTGTTTTCTTTACATTGAGGTGAACCAATACTGTGGTCTTTGATCTTTATAAGTATTTTTAAGTCTTTGCTTTTAGCAAGCAAGGTTGTATCATTTGCCTATTACAGGTTGTTAATGAATCTTCCTCCAATTCTGATGCAACGTTCTTCTTCATATAATCCAGGTTTTTAGATATTTGCTCAGCATACAGATTGAATAAGTATGGTGAAAGAATACAACCCTGGTGCATACTTTTCCTAATTTTAAAGTACTCAGTGTTCCTATGTTCTGTTAGAACACCTGTTTCCTGATCTATGTACAGATTCCTCCTGAGCACAATTAAGTGTTTTGGAATACTCATTCTCCGTAATGTTGTCCAAAGCTTGTCATGATCTACACGCTCGAAAGCCTTTGCATAGTCAATAAAGCACAGGTAAACATCTTACTATTATTCTCTGCTTTCAGGGATGGAAACCACATAAAAATACTTCACAACTTCTCTCTAGGCCAAGCATTTTATTTCTACACCCGAGGTACCCAGGTTGTGAAAAGGTACAGATAATCAGAGGAACTGGTTCAGATGCAAGTTCCTAGGTTCCCCCACTGGAGGCTCGGTCTCTGTAGGTGGGTTTTTCTTAGCAGCTCTCGTGTTTTTCTAGTGTAAAGTCAGGGTTTGCAAATCTCTGCTATGGGCTAAGAGAAAAACCCCACCTGCTTTCACCTCTCACCGGGTAGTCTGTAAGTGACATCTTCACCTACGAAAAAGAGAATTGTGTGTGCTTTCTCCCCCAAACTGAAGTGTTGTCAGGAAACACTGACTAGACTATGGACTGTCAAAAGAACAAACACATCAGTCTCCAAAGAAATACAGCCAGGATGTTCCTTAGAGGGGAGGGTGGAGAGGCTTCAACTTGCTGCTATTGGACGAGTCACTGGGGAAGACCACTTGCTAGAAAGGGACACCATGCTTGGTAAAGGAGAAAAGCAAAGCCAACCCACAGCCATCGAGCTGATTCCAACTCACAGAGACACTGCAGGGCAGAGGAGAAAGGTTCCAGAGCATTCCTGAGGCTGTGGATCTTTATGGAAGCAGACTGCCTCATCTTTCTCTCTCAGAGCAGCTAGTGGGTTTGAACCACTGACCTTTGGTTTCCCAATGCACTTAACCCACTGCACCAAAGCACAGGGTCAGCACAAAAGGAAATAAACCCTCGATGAGATGGATTGACAGAACAGCCTTGCCAATGGACTCAAATGATGGGAAAGATGGCGCAGCACCGGGAAATGTTTCATGCTTGTTGTCACGAGTCAAAGCGACTTAACAGAAATGAACAACAAGTCATAAAATAGAGCCTGATGTGAACCCCAAAACACCCCAAATCGGAAGAGGCAGAAGTGAGCATAGCTCTTTCCAATATCCCACGACATCACAAACGAAAACAGAAAAGTCATGATAATATGACCACTATGCAAAGGATTAGGACCCTTAAGGAACGGGTAGCTGAAAGAGATGATGCCGACACACGGATTAATGGTGAGGACACTGATAACTATCTCTTGGGTGACTCTGGCCATAATTTGGCTCTGATCAGATGAGTTACTGATCTTTACGTTTGGAATTTTCCCAAGTGCAGAAATAAGTTGTGCGCCTTCATGGACACTGAACAACTCCTTTCTGAGTAGATGCAAGTGAGAGAGTCAAGTTCACCTCTAGGCAGTGGTGAACCACAGAAAACCACTACCCTGTGGAGAGAAAACACAACTACCTTCAGAAGTCAACATTTGGTGGAGCATCCTGAAATTCTACCTGTGCAAGGAGCAGCAAAAAAATTAATGAAGGAAGGAGGAAGAGAATGAAGTCCACCTTGCTTCTAAAGAGGGACTTTGGTTCTTAACGCTTAGAAGAGGTGAGGGTCCCTTACGAGACATGAGGGTTGCATGAGGACATATGAGCAGAGCGTGTGGGCTGCTAGGAATGGCTCCTGGTTTGATTGTCTCTGGATCTTACCGCATCCCTTGCAGGTGGCCTCAGAGGTGTGGTTGATGAAACCACTGAAAAAGTGGGTAATCAGTCAAAAATATCCCCTGTGTTCTGAAGGTGCCTAACCCTTCCGCTCTGGTGACTAGTGTAGGAAGCTGTGAGGGGCCCCAGCAGCTGTTCTGGAGATCGCAGAACTGGGAAGAGCTGAGTGGAGAGCGGAAGGGCAGAGACCACATTGCATTCAAGTAGTCTTTCTCAATCTGGTTGTAGAGAAGCAAGAAGCCTTGGAGCTGTTTAACCAGCTCCTCCAAGGATGGCCTATAACTAGAATCAATGTGCATGCGGGGGAAGCTGAGTCTGGTGATGGGTGCTCAGGCCACCAGAACTTCAGTGTCTCCAGGAACCTGGAGAGATCTGAAGAGGAAGGTCCCAGGCAAGGTGAGTCCTGGCGCCAACACATGGAAGGGGAAAGGTCACCTTAGCCACAGAGGAGGAGGAGGATTTTAAAATCATGAATATGAATAGTAAACCAACAACAACAAAACAATGACCAGCTGCAGTGGAGCTGAGCAGAACTCTGCTCCACAGGGTTGCCATGGTTGCAATCTTTCAGAAGCAGATCACCAGGCTTGTCTACCAAGGAACTTCTGGGTGGGGTCAAGCACCTGAGCCCCACCCTAGGGCTCCTGGGAGCCAGTAGAAGAGGTGGGATTGAGAGACAGTACAGTTAGGTAGCTCTGGTAGCGTACTGGCTACGAATCGGGCTGTGAACTTTAAGGTCAGCAGTTCGAAACTACCAGCTGCTCCGCGGGAGAAAGATGAGGCTTTCTACTCCCGTAAAGAGTTACACCCTCGGAAACCCTGTACAGGGTCGCTATGGGTCGGAACCGACTCGACGGCACTTAACAACAACAACAGTTAGTTATGAAAGAGGAGGTCCTGCACCTTGGGCAGAAGTTCAGGCTGTTTGTTGGTATTTCACTGCGTGTAGAATGTGGAGGCACGTCAGGGGGCTCCCCAAAGTTCATGGAAAAATGGAATTAGAAGCTAAGGAATTTTTCTATAAACTTTTGGAAGCCCCTAGTACATACACATACACAGAGTCCACTCCAGCATGGATGGTAAACTGGCTCTGGTCCAGGAGGGCCACTCCAAACCCCAATGCCTGTCTTCCCTTCTATCCTCAGGAAAGGAAATTGCACATACAAGCCGGGATTCTCTGGCTTCTGCAGAGTCCCAGGGCAGGAAACCCAGGTGAGTGCCCTGCTCTAGGCGGGTGCAGCCAGCAGTACCATCCACCCTGAGGACCCCCTAATGAGAGCCTCATGCGCAGACTTGGGTTACACAGGCATTTTCAGCCTAATTCCAGCTGGGCCTTGTGCTGAAGGGATGGTCTCACCATCAGGCAAACCGCTGAGGAAGCCCTGAGAGAAAAGAGCTGTGTGTGGGGGCTGTGGCTGCTCTCAGTCAACCCAGCTGGGAGGGATGGAGATCCCCAACCCCGACCTCTCCACTGGCCCCCAAGTCTGGGGGCCAGAAGACCTGGTTTTGGTAGAGCTAAGAATTCTAAGCCCTTGCTCCAAACACCACTCTTTTTGTTGGCATCGTCCCCATGAAAATATCTGCCTCTCCACATGTTTCACTCTAAAGAGAAACTTAATTAGGTAGGGTCAAATCTCTACAGAGGATCCTGAGTTACAAAAGGTAGCAAGCAAGGATATAATGAGAAGTTGATTTTTTTAAAGAAAAGAACAAAACATGTCAGAAGTCCCCATTAAGAAAAGGACACCAGAGCACCACTGTGTTCAGAGTGCTTAGAAATGCACCACTTCATCCAGACCTGAGTCCCCAAGACATTTCACATACCAGCATTCTCACAGATGTGCACTCCAACCTCAGCTTTCTGATTAGCTTTTCCATGGTTTCAATAACTGTTGTTAAGGTGTTGTTGTTATTAAGTGACTGTGAATCTGTTCCGACTCATTCTAGCTCTGGTAGGGTTTCCATGGTGGGTTTTAACCGCTGACCTTGAGGTTTAGCAGGCCAATGCTTATCTTATAGCACCAGGACTCCTTCAATAACTGAGGGGAAGAAATTCTTTTGGCCCACCCAGCTGCGTTATTTTCAATGTGTTCTATTGTAAACACTTTGTAAGCAACAAAACAGAACTTCAAGGAAGTTGCACTTCAAAAATAAATAAATGTGTTTTACCTGATGGGTTGGGAGCACTGACAGTTCAGTGGAAGACATGGGTTCAATTCCCAGCCAATGCTCCTCACACACAGTTCCCACCGTTTGTCAGTGGGGGCTTGCTTGTTGCTATGATGCTGAATAGGTTTCCAATGTAAATGTTTTCAAGCTGATGGTGAGAATGCTCATCTTCAATCGATAAATAAAGTCAAAGCTACTGAGCTTTAAATTGGTGGATTGTATGGTGTGTGTCCTCTATCTCGGTAAAGCAAAAACCAAACCAAACCCACTGCTGTTGAACGCATTCAGACTCGAAGTGACCCCCAGGACAGAGTAGAACTGCTTCTTAGGGCTTCCAAGGCTGTAAATCTTTAAGGGAGCCCAGAGCCTCCACTGTCTTCTGTAGAGCGGTTGGTGGGTTTGAACCACTGATCTTTGGGTTAGAAGCCCAATCAATGTTTAACCCCCTGTACCATCAGGGCTCCTTCCTATCTCAGTAGAGCTGTTTTTACAATAAAGAAAAGCAAGCTGTACTGGATGACAAAAGATGGAAGCCTAAAGCGTCCACAGACAGTCAGCCCCTTCTCCATCCCACCCTCTACAGCAGCTCCAGTGCTGTCTGCAGACGCCAACAGCGTCATGGAATGCTGTCTGGAAAACCCTCCTCTGGTCCAGCTTTTCATCCTTCATATATAACCAAGACCTAAACCCAAGTTGTTTGACACCAGTGTAGGGCTCTTTGAAACCTGGGTGTTTCCCTGCCGAGTCAGGGTTCCTCTTACCGTCCATATCCAGGCGTTGCATAATGATCGCCAGCTCCACCTCACTCGGCATGTACCCCAGTGAGCGCATGGCCATGCCCAGCTCCTGCTTAGAGATGAAGCCATTCCCATCTCGGTCCAGAACGCGAAAGGCCTCACGGATTTCTACAAGAGGGAAGCAGAGAAAATGCAAGGGTCACATGGCTTCCTGGCTTATGGTATTAACCGTGTGGTTGCCTGTCTACTGATGGGAGTCCCTGGATTGTGCTGTCACCTGTTCATGGAAAGGTTGGCACTGCCAGGTCACCCAGAGGCACCCAGGAAAAAAGGCCTGTGATCTACTTCCGGAAAAACAAACAAACAAACAAACAAAAATAAAACAGCCATTGCAAACCCTCTACCATGCATGGGGTTGCTATGAGTTTGAATCCTACTGATTTTTTATCGGTCTCCCATTGATGACTCTTTTTCCTTTTTTACTTAAGACATAAACAAATTTTTATATAATGCTTTTCAAGAAAATGATGGCTAAGATTAAATTAATAAAATTACTGTGAAACTATACCAAGCTAACTTCAAAGATATTTTCAACATATATCTTTCTTCCCATTTTGACAATTCGCATATATACTTCTTTTTTTTCACGTTTAGCAGATCATTGTTATGATTACAATACCCTCCATGCACCCTTGGTGGTGGTGGCTGTGTGCCCTGGAGTCGGTTCCGACCCATAGTGACCCTGTATAGGGTTTCTGAGAAGCAGCTGGTGGGTTTGAACTGCCAACCTTGTGGTTCAAACTGACTCTGCAGTCCAGCCTGTTAATCCACACCTTGCTGTTCAGACTGACCTTACAGTGGAATGCATTATCCTGCAGCACCACAATAATACTCCATTATAGAATATAAACGAAAAATTAAAACAAACAAAAGGGAAGGGAGGGAGGAAAAGGAAGGAAAGCCTGTGGCTGGGTAGAAAAGGGAAATGAAGAAAAAAAACATCAGGAAAGAACGATAAAGTAAACCAGCTTTTAAAGGACAAGGTGAGTAGCCAAGAGCAGCATCAAATACAGGACACACACATGAGGCGCTGGTCCCATTGGAAAATCTAACGACCCAAGGATCCTTTCTGATCAAGGATAAGGATTTGGTTTTAGCTGGGTGAAAACAAACAAAACACATGGCCTTTTAGCTTTGGCCATTTGGAGTGGTGAGAACGGGATTCCCCTCTGAGACTTCCATTTCAGTTCTGGCTGCTATAGGAGTCCCGTGGACAGACAGAGCAGGCCTAGTGCTCAGTGGCCTGCAGTTTTTATTTCAGTCCTCGAATTCACCCTTGTTACATGGTTATAAAGAACCTCAGATCAATAAGAGTAAACATGCGGCCCATGTGGCAATGTTCACCGCTCTCTCTTGTGGTTCGGCTAATGGTGAGGCCCATTCTGTTCAGCAGGTGGCCTCCTGTCCTCTTTTCCCAAACCAGAGTGGCCCTAGGTTCCATCACAGCCAGTCTCCAGGACCCACGCAACTGCACATGGGCCTGGCTGAGAACTTCTGAACATCTACACCCCTATGAATCATGGCTTGCGAGCATGGGGCTCTTGGGATGGACATGAGAGCCTTGCAGTCCTATCTAAGCACCAGCTCTAGTGGCACAGTGGTTATACACTCAGTTACTAACCAAAAGGTCAGCGGTTCAAACCTACCAGCTGCTGTTTGGGAGAAAGATGAGTCCGTCAGTTCCATAAAGACTGGCAGACTTGGAAGCCCTATGAGGCAGTTCTGCTGTCTGCTAGGGTTGCTAGGAGGCAGAAGCTACTTGGTGACAGTGGGTTTCCTTTCAGAAACAGACTTAGACCAGCACTGATTTTTCATCAATAAACTCGCTCGGCGCAAGTCCAATACCATTCCTTCTGTCATTCAACAAGCATCAAAGACATGTTACCTGAGTCACCAACTATTAAACACCCCAGAGAAATAAAGGTGAGGCTTGGGTATAGTTCTCCTCCAAAGCCCCTATACAGAAAACGAGAACACAAGACACACACAGGAAACTTTCAATAAATTTCTTCCAACTAATAAGACACATGGCCCCAACCCAGTGTCTATTCTTTTTTATTACTTCTCTAAATGACTGACTAAAACAAACCAACATCTAAACCTGCTACTTTTGAGTTGATTTAAACTCATATCGACCCTGTAGGGACACAACAGGACTGCCACACAGGGTGTCCAAAGCTGTCCATCTTTATGGAAGCAGAATGCAATTATCTTTCTCCCACGGAGAGGCTAGTGTGTTTGAACCGCTGACTTTTTTGTCTGATTTGCAGTTGAGCACTTTCTAAATGTCTGAAAGAAACTGCTGGCAAATACTTTATACATTTTCCATACAGGTATTACACTTTTCTAAATCTATATCCCACCATTTATCAATCAGTTTTGTCACACTGTGGTGGCTTACATGTTGCTGTGATGTTGGAAGCTATGCCACCAGTATTTTAATTACAAGCAGGGTCACTCAGGATGGACAGGTTTCAGCTGAGCTTCGAGACAAAGAGAGACTAGGAAGAAGGAGAGATGGACTACTTTCAAATAACCACTGAAAAGCTTATGAATAACAGTGGAACACTGTCAGCACCAGAATACTGAATATCGATACATGATGAAGAGCACCAGAATATTGTCAGATATAGTGCCAGAAGATGAGCCCCTCAGGTTGGAAGGCATTCAAAATGTGACTGGGAAGATTTGCCTCCTCAAAGCAGAGCTGACTGTGATGATGAGAATGAAGTAGAGCCCTCAGGACCTTCGTTTGCTGATGGAGCACAACTCAAAATGAGGAGAAGCAGCTGTGAACATCCATTAATAATCAGAACATGGCATTACAAAGTATGAAGCCAAGAAAATTTAGAGTTATCAAAAATGAAATAGAACACATAAACATCGATATCCTAGGTATTAGTGAGCTGAAACGGACTGGCATTGGCCATTCTGAATCTGACAATCACATGGTTTGCTACACTGGGAATGACAAGTTGAGGAGGAAAGGCATCGCATTCATTATCAAAAAGAACATTTCAAGATCTGTCTTGAAGTACAACGCTGTCTGTGATAGGATAATATCCATAAACCTACAAGGAAGAGCAGTTAATACCACTATTATTCAAATTTATGCACCAACCACTAGAGCCAATGAGGATGAAATTGAAGAATTCTACCAACTTCTTCAGTCTGAAATTGATCAAACATGCAAATAAGATGTATTGATAATTACTGGCAATTGGAATGCAAAGTTTGGAAACAAAGAGGAGGGATCAGTAGTTGGAAAATATGGCCTTGGTGACAGAAACAATGTTGGAGAGCACATGATAGAAATCTGCAAGATCAATGATTTCTTCATTATGAATACCTTTTTTAAACAACATAAAAGATGACTAGGTACATGGATCTCACCAGATGAATACATAGAAATCAAACTGACTACATCTGTGGAAAGAGACGGTGGATAAGCTCCATATCAGCCAAAACAAGGCCAGGGGCAGACTGTGGAACAGACCATCAATTGCTCATATGCAAGTTCAGGCTGAAGCTGAAAAAATTAAAACAAGCCTATGAGAGCCAAAACATGACCTTGAATATATACCATCTGAATTTAGAGATCATCTTAAAAACAGATTTGATGCATTTGACACTAAAGACCAAAGACCAGAGAGTTATGGGATGACATCAAGAACATCATACAAGGAGAAAGCAAAAGGTAATTAAGAAGACAGGAAAGAAAGAAAAGACCAAAATGTGTGTCACAAGAGACTCTGAAACTTGCTTTCCAGTGTAGAGATGCTAAAGAAATGTGGAGATAAAAGATCTGAACAGAAAACTTCAAAAGGGCAGCTCAAGAAGACAAAGTCAAACATTAAAACGGAATGTGCAAAGACCTGGAGTTAGAAAACCAAAAGGGAAGACCATGCTCAGTATTTCTCAAGCTGAGGGAACTGAAGAAAAAATTCAAGCCTTGACTTGAAATTTTGAAGGATTCTATGGGCAATATAAGGAGCTCTGGTAGCTTAGTGGTTACGAATCGGGCTGCGAACCTTAAGGTCAGCGGTTTGAAACTACCAGCCGTTCCGCGGGAGAAAGATGAGGCTTTCTACTCCCGTAAAGATTTACACCCTCGAAACCCTGTACAGGGTCGCTATGCGTCGGAACCGATTCGATGGCACTTAACAACAACAACATGGGCAATATAAGATTCCTGGTGTGGCACTACAGGTTAATGTGCTAGACTGCAAAGACAAGTTTGAACCACAAGGTTGACAATTTAAGCTCACTACCGCTCTTTGGAAACCCTATACAGGGTGACTATGGGTTGGAACGGACTTAATGGCACTTAACAACAACAATGGACAACATACTGAAGGATGCAGAAAGCATCAAATGAAGGTAAAGGGAATGCACAGAGTCACTGTGCCAGAAAGAGATGGTTGATTTTCCACCATTTGAGAAGGGAGCTTATGATCAAGAGTCAATGATACTGAAGGAAGGAATCTAAGGTAAATTGATGGCATTGTCAAAGAACAAGGCTGCAGGAAATGATGGACTATAAATTGAAATCTTTCAACAAACTGATGCAGCACTGGAGACACTCACTCATCTATGCCAAGACATTTGGAAGACAGCTACCTGGCCAACTGACTGGAAGAGATCCATATTTGTGCCCACTCCAAAGAGAAATGACCCAGCAGAATGCTGGTATCATCAGATAATATCATGAATATTGAATGTAAGCAAATTTTTGCGAAATATAATATGAAAATGGTTGCAACACTGATAGAGAAATTCCAGAGGTTCAAGCTGGATTCAGAAGAGGATGTGGAACACTGCTGATGTCAAATGGATCTTGGCTGAAAGCAGAGAATACTAGAAAGTTTTTTTTTTTTTTTTACCTGTGCTTTATTGACTATGCAAAGGCTTTCAAGTGTGTGGATCACGACAAGCTATGGACAACACTGTGAAGTATGAGTATTCCTGAACAGTTAATTGTGCTCATGAGGCACCTGTACATAAACCAAGAGGCAGTTGTTTGAACTGAACAAGGGAACACTGAATGCTTTAAAATTAGGGAAGGTGTGTGCCAGGGTAGTATTCGTTTACCATATTTATTCAGTATG